ATATTATTCTGCTCTTTCTTTTGTCACTTCTACTAGATGCGTCCTTGAAGGTATGCTTCTCCTTCAATGCACTCCTGAACCCTTGCAAGGACCTGCCACCCCTGATAGTTGGGGAAGGTTGTACACCAGAATTTTTATCCTCAATAATTTTAGGTCTGAAATCTTTTGACTAGCATTATTAATTTAAAGTTCTACTTGGTTGCCAGAAAAATGTATTTTGTCGGTAGCAATAGGTAAACTAATCAGATAGTAGTGTCTAACTAATTTCTAGCAAATTTAAAGGAAAAGTAAAGTTAATTTTTTTGGAATTATTTTAGGTATAAGGTAATTTTAAACGATAACATATGAATTTTACAAACTTCAACTGTAGCTGTTCAGTACGATTAAAGTATTTATCGTCACACGGATTCTCTAATCCGAATTCCGAGGTACTTCTTACAAAAGTACAATAAAATATCTTAACAATTTTTATATTTTTTAAATTAGCTGGGTTCTCATTATGATGTCATGCGGCTGCGATAGTTTTCTCTTTTATAATTTTATCAACGTGCTCTTCAAAAAGAAGCTTTGATTCCTGAACAATACGAAGATCACGTATTATGAAAAATCTTTCGAATTTGTAATTTTTCAATTTGTATTAAGTGGGAATAACGTTTCTTTTCGAATAAAACTTACAAGGGAACTGATTTATCTGGTTTTTGAATAATTGTCGCAGTCCAGGGAAGATTTAAACGGTGAGAGGCGATCATACTCCGGGTCATCTTGTAATATCTACCTATATAAGAGTTGATTAGCAAGTTTAGATTACAAATTTCACAACTTTACATTGGTCGTTGGATATATAAACAAAAATTATTCTTCTCCAACTTTTCCGTTTTTCAGACGGCATGCTTTTGACCACGGCTGTACCTGCAGATGTTAACGTCCACCAATTAATACTAGGTTAGCATAACCACCATTAAAACCATATCATAAAATAAAACCACAGTTCTCTTTATGTGATTCTAATACTGTATCTCACCAGATAGGACATTAGTATGCTGATGATTAAAAGTTATTGCTTCAAATATTATTTACTATATGAATAAAAAATATTCCTTTAAAAATAACGTTTAGGTATCGTGAATTTCTAAAATGGCCATAGTGTACTGCTGCTGACATATATCAATAATAAATTATAAAATTTAACATTAAATTAACACTTCTTACATACGAATATAGTATAAAAACAATAAAAATTACTGCAAAGTCTAGAAACACAATAATGTCCAGAAATCATTTTCACACACCTTCAGGATCCGGTACTGAAACATGTGTATTTATTTGAACAGTCTATTGCGTAAGAGCACATGCCCGTCTTACGTACTTAAGCGCGCACGACGTCGTATCCGTGACGTACGGTCAGGCCCTCTAATGCAAACAATCAGTTTTTTGCACCCTTTTATCACGGGAGCGCCGGCCAACGTTTATAAGCCGCGGAAAAACGGTCAGGACACACATTACACGTAACGCGGCGAACTGAACGTATCCGCCCGAGATCGCAAAGATCGCCTGTAGCCGCCGTCACGTCACCGTAATAAAATGCACGGAGCTCATTAGAAACAATTTCAACGCCTCCTGTACGGAATAAAAACTTTTTTGTGTTTTTTATTTTTTTTATAATGTGCCAGTGATAAAAACGATTGACTGTGAATTTGTGTGACTGTTTAGTACCAAAGAGTTTTGTGTATAATTATATTTAATCTGTGATAATTGAAAACATAATAAAATGTTTGAAGAGTGCACATGCAACAGAGGTTCCTCAACGAAACGAAATTTAAAATACCTAAGAAAATATAGTAAGTAGCTATATCACTTTGCTTATTAATAACAAAAGTAAAGTAATTTTTTGTTTAACTTTAAATACCATATCTATTTTAACTTAATGATAATGAGAAAATGCAACCAAATAAATATTTCTCTAAGATAAGTTGTCGATAAGAAAAATATGTACAAAGATGACCTAACCGATAACGTTACATAGCATTCAAAACAGAACGACACTTGATAAATCACCAAATATAAATATAACTTTATGAAATCATAATCTTGGCAATAATTTAGTTTCAATATTGTTTATTGCATTAAATCTGTCAAATAATAAATTTTATTCAAACTCACCTTATAAACTACAAGTAATTACTTTTATACAAGATTTATTCACCATAAATTGACAAGTAATCCAAACATTTACGTTATCTGTTCACATTTTAATCCATACATTTTCAAATTTCACATACGCATTTGATATTTGTGTTAGTAAACTGAAACATAAAAAAATAAAAATTTAAATAGGGCATAAGAATAAAGATGAAAATTGAAAAAAAAAGAACACAAAGCGTTTTTTTAAGTAGGACATTAAAACCTTCATAAAGGGGTTAGAGTAAAAGCTTTCTCGCTCGACTCAAGCGTGATTTATATTGCGGCTCGGGAACAATACCATTTGGCACACCGCGCGGCCGCACGAGCAGTGTCGCGGAAGCAACGTACTTACGGTAAACTTAAATTAGCCGCTGAAATTATGCTGGCAAAGGCATTCAAACAGACAACCTTTTCAAATGCAAACTCATAACCTCCATCTTATAATGCACACAACGTTATCACTCTACAGTAACAAAATAAATACTCCTGCAATATTTAAAAAAAATAATCAACGATTTTACCTTCACCGATAACCATGGACCAATTGAAAGTAACAATTCTAAAATATAAAATTTCAACATTATATTTTTTTATGGTATGACAAATCGTATTAAGTTACGTGAATCTACTAGTATACTTTCTACGGTCATGAGTAATAATGAACTCATAAGCGATCCGATACCGTATTTGTAGGCTTTCACCTCTTCCCACTACCCCGCTAGTCAGAGAAATTCGGGAAATTCCGTGACTCATCAAACAACCCTCGGAAAAGCCTCGAGTCATTAAATACGCCTATAAGAAAAAAAGCTATTATGAACAAAACATCATTGATGAAAACGATTCGTATAAAACATCGCGACTGCTCTGGGAATCTCTTAAAGCAAAAAACTCATTCTAATTAGTATCATCTCAGATTATAATTGTCCAGGTACAAGAATACTCGTGTCGCGTGACAGATAAGAAAAGACATATCAATCAAGTCAATCATTATATTAACGATAAGTAAACTATGATTCTTTTGTTGACTATACTAGAATAAATAAAAGTGTTATTAATTTTAAATGAAAATCAAAATACTTCATCACAACATATTTCAAAATCAAAAATTATAAATAAAAGAATATCATTATATTTCTTATATTATAATACCAAAATTTTATATAACTAAGTATGTGTTTCTTCCCACGCAAAATATTTTAGAGGAAGACAAAACATAGTTAAAATAGGGAAGTATTAATCATTGACATAATAATCTTCTATTGACAGTATCAATAAACGCCGAACACAATGGCATCGCTTGTTAGTTACGACAAAAAAAAAAGTTGTCAAGTGTAAACACTCCGCTTGCTAGTCCAAATGTTTAGTAAACCACATCAGAGATAAATCTGGTACAAAACCTGTTTCTTCTTCTAGTTCACAATGTAACACCAATGCGTAAGAGTAGGATTCTTGAAAAAAATGAAGTATCCGACCTCTTTTATAATAAAACCCTATAACGTTTATCTAATAAAAAAAAAGAAAAATATAACAGCCGTCACTCACTATCATAAAACTTGCATTCCTTTATTTGCAAAAGTGTAAGTAAAAAGTATCGCTATTTGAAGTTCATATTAAAAAATCGAACTCTCTAAAGAAATTGAAAGTACCTACTAACCTACATAGCATATGTCAACTCTGTGTTTAAATACGCCAATATCGCACATGTGTTTTCTATCATCACATCAATCAACTTCGGCAAAACATAAGTATTTTGAAGTACATATTATGAACAATTTTCAGCAGATTATTTGATAATTATCATTGTAATTTCGTTTTGTTTTACAACATTACGAAACAGTATGATTCATCTAGATAGTTATCATACTATGATTGTTTTCATATATTTTTTTAAATTCCATTTTTTAAGTTTAGGATTGTAAAGTAAACGGGTTATTCCAATTTAGAACGCATTAACAATCTTCGGTTATTGTTTAAAAGTCTTAATCAATCGCTAATCGACAACTAGTCACTCGAGATTTCGATAAAGATTTGAGTCGTTACCACGTGGTGAGTGACGGTGCCGAGCCACCAATAGAGTTTAAGATAGACTCACTCATCGATGATTCATCGCAGTCCTAACCGAATAAACTTACACTTGCACAAGCTGCGAACAGAGATCTCCTTAGAGACAACGAAAACTTTTTTAAATAACCTATTTTTATATAGCGACATAAAATTGTGATGATAAGATTAAAATAAAAATAGTTTTAGTAAATCATTACATAACAGGATAATAATATTATAATAATGGAAAGGTAATTCCGTTTCAATCATACTTATTAATAAGTGGTGAATTACTTTCCGCATATCCTTGAATTCGACATTAAAATGACGTCTAAAATAAACCCATTTCATATTTAAATACAAATGGAATGGACCTGTATTCGATCTGCTTAAAATTTTCTTTATAATAAAGGCATGATTTTGAAATAAAGTAAAAGTAAAATTTTAGTTGATGCTATCGTAACTGACGACTATAAGTATTTGGTTAAATCTTTAATACCTACATATTATTACAGACAATATTTCTATAAAGATTCTCAAGACAGTTTATAAATAAAAAAAATGAATGAATTAACAAGACACAAAAAGTTTTTAAAGCCGTGTTAAGCATCCTCTTTAAATGATTAAAAAAGAAAAAAAATAAAGCACAGACGTCTCCGTGTGTGTTCTGGGCAGAGTTCGCGTTCTGACGGGCGGGCAAGTAAGGGTTTTCGCGTACAGTTTGACCGGCTATTTTATGTACGGTGCCGCATTTCGGCGCCCATTCAACGAGAGGAGGTTGCTCGCGCGCCAGCCTCGCACGCGCTCACTTGCGACATACGATCGAGTTGTGAACGTAAACAGTGGTATAGCATACCTAATTTAAAAAGAGAAAGATTTTTTTTTTTAAATAAAGTGTTGACGTTTAATAATTAAACATAAAACGCGGGTGTATACGGTGATCGAATTGACGAGTTTCCACCGATTTTCATTAATCGGAATTTTTACGTTCGGATGAACATGGACTTGCCCAAAGGATTCACATCAATGCGTTGTTCATGGATGTCTTTTTAACCGGTGTGTGTTGTTTATAGTTATAATTTAATTTTTTGTTAAGTAAACGTTGTCTTTGCCTGGAATGCGTTTTGTCAAAGAGCTGACAAAAAACGGTGGGTACATTACTATTATTATGTAATAATAAAAAAATATAATATTTGTTTCTTTATCAAAATTAATAATTTTATGTTTATATTCGATTTCATGTATTTTTCAAAGGCAAATTCTAAATCATAAAAATAAGATAACGAGCAATAAAAAAAATCATAAATAAAATTTAATGAATCTATTGTAATTCATAAAAAATATTCTTAAATTACACTTATGAAATATCAAAATTCTAATATTATTATACTACCGTGTATAAAAAGTTTTCTTAAAAAATTATAAAAAATATATTACATTTATATCAACATCACTAGTTGTATTTCTAATAATTGAATGCGCAAATTCGATGATGATCATTTTTGGAAGTGGACAATTGAGAAAGTCGCCTAAGCAGCGAATCGTGTGGGAATGAACAACAATCGTCCGTCGGCAATCGATCAAAAACATTTTTCACTGAAACCATCACCGTGTCATCCGATACTCAAAGTTTAGCTTTTTCGTTTCGAGACATCGATTGTTTCGCTTCCTTCTTCGGACATCATTATTTAAAACATTCTTTAGGTATTAATTGGTGTTTAATAATTCGCATATACAAATAGTAAGGACCATTTACGAATGTGTGCATCGTTTATTAGCAATTAAAACTAAAATAATAGTCAGATAAAGTTTTACTTAATACAGTGTAAATTTTTTTTTATTAATAATCAAAAAAATAATTACTAGTCCCAAAAATAACATCATTATAAAATAATTATATAACTAAAATAATGTGACATCAGCTATCCACAAATGATAATAAGCCTTCGGGAAAACCCCATGTCAGTAAAATCGCTTCATGGACGTCGCTTTTCGCGGTAACAATTATACGCTTAGCATTGTTTGATCTCGATATGTTGATGTATTATCTACTAAACTTAGTGATAGGCCGGCACAGCCTAAAAAAGTTCATACGCCAGCCTTGACCGGAGTGTGCAGTATACAAAAAATTATACAAGCATGTTGCCGTATCTGTTTCACTTACGCGTTTATTTAGCATACGTTATATTGTCAACGACACCGCTTGACCTAATGATTCACTGACCATTTACCTCAGATTATCCTTGTGTGACGTAACACACGTAATAGGTTAACTTTTCTCTGCATAGGTTCCAACTAAATGACGCGTCTAAGATCCACAATATTTACATTTTGTAAATAAACATTCAACTCGAACGCCGTATTATTTATTCAGTCCAGACACTCCTTTAAGCCGATAAACTACACCATTTAGTAAATTTACGGTAGTAAATCGTGTGCTTAATACTAAAATAAAACCAGCAACTAATTTAAAAATAACTTTTTCTTTTATTATTGCTGATTTCTTCAATCTGGAGTACTATTACTTAATTATTTACTCATCAAATAAAATTTTTAAGTAACGAATGAAGTAACTTTTCAAAAAAAAATTATTAAAATAAATAAAATTGCTTGAAGTTCAATACAGCTTAATGGCCACTGTTGATGCTTCAAGTATGCGAATTCGAGAAGGGAGGGTTACTTTCCACGTTTAGCACTTAAACTGGACAAAGGCCTTTCAAAGTTGGTGTTTCTCCTCCTTTTGAAATTTGAAAACGTTGCAGAAATACAAGTCCCCGTTGGCGCATAAAATATGTTTTATGACACCGGCATAACATCAAAAACATTCAATAGCAGTCAAACGCTAAATATTATGGAATAACATATGATGTATCCGAGAAAAATTATGAAATATCTCAAAAATCTACATATAACACTACCACGTAAAATAATTACAAGTTTCTTTATTAACACTTCATTAAAATATAATCAAATAATGATAACTCATATAACAAATCATAAAAAAAAATATTAATATTCAAAATGCCTTAAAAAATTAACTAATCAAACCATACAAAATACATATCATATTCAATTAATAAACAGTATGTTAAAATTTATCGACAACAATATAAAATTATAAATTGTACATGTGTTTTGTCACAAAACGAAAATTGATGTGAACACGTATGCCAGCTCCCAAGGGGCTAATGGTCTACGAGAAAGTGCTCCAAGATAGAGATACAACAAGAACTTTATGCACTTGTGTTTGTGCGTTGTACCGGCGCGATTACGATAATCACGGAGCTTATTATTTTTTATGTGATCTTCTGGACGCTCCCGTCCACTTAATGGGAAAATGGAGACTTTTTTGAATCTTCCAAGTCTGGTGATGAGATTTTTAGAATGAATAATTTTTAAATTCTCGCCATTTTTTAAAGCATCGCATTTCGTTGTATAACAAGTTTTTAAAGAACGTCTCTCATTTAAATTTGAAAGTCTCTCTTAAAAGTTGGCGAAAATAAAATTATTATAATCTTAATGATGATTCTCTAATGCTACTGTATATTGGTTTTCTGAAAATTATTTATCCATTTACATCTACCAACAATATTGTAGATGCGTAGAATAATTGATGAGTATAAAATCGATATTTAAACCGTACTAAAATAATTACTTGATAAAATCATAGGTATTTATCATAATTAGAATACAATTCAACACTTTAATTTACGCCGAAAAATCGGAAATCATCTGTATCAACCATAGACAAAGAGTACCGCAAGTTCTTGTTAGACTTACCATTATTTGAGTAACTATTTGCTTATATTAAAACAACATCGATACCATATTACAACACTTTTTATCTTAACGTAATGATGTTAATACTTGTGCAATTTGCTAATAATGTAAACTAATAACCCTTCCAAAACTTGAACGAGGACATATATTTTAAACTTGCCGAATGAACCATGTTGAATGGTATTTTCTTTTCGCCAAAGTTATACGCAGTTTAACATAAAACGACAGGTCGAATCAAGTATTTACCACTAAAAATCAACCCTCATATAAATAACACTCTCTGATAAGTCACTATCAGTGCCAGTCGCTCATTGCGAGCATGTCACACGTGTATTACATTATCGGCCGGGCAATTATCAGTCAGTATTAATGTTAATCAACAGTATCTAAGAACTACAGTCTAATACATTTATTTCATTTGAGTGGTTGTCTTAAACGCGCGTCTATTGTTTCAGGTGTTTCCAAAAAGCTATTGGTAGCAATGTCGGTAGCGGTAATAGTAACTATGTGCCTAAAAACAACTGCGGCGAGTCCGTTAGAACACAGAAGACATAATAGACATATGACAAGAACACTGAAAGACTCGGTAACGTCCAAGACAGAGGCTCGAATACACGAAGCTGAGAGAACTACCAAAGAACAAAAAATCAGGAGACTGCTACACAACGACCAGTACGGGACAGCTCTACAAAAAGTCAAACATAAAATGGCTAACACGAAAGACAACTTCGACGAACGGCGCAGAATATTGACGGAGCCCAAAGACTACGGGTCCGGTATGCCACCCTGGTTACCGAAGACTAACTTCGTGGATATTCACGAGAGGAGTAATAAAATCGCCAACAGAAAAGACGCATCGAGATCTAAACAATATGTAAGTACCTGTTTATTTACTAAACAAAAAAAATTATATAACATCACACTCATTGCTCAGATTCCAAGATGAGTTTCTAAGGCCTCCGTATTATGGAGTACCCGAGAGAACTAAGTTACCACAACACTCAGACCCTAACAGATAATTTTCGATTCAATCAAATTAAATAAAGTTCATAATATAAATTATCTATTAAAAATCGCATACTGTTTTATCAATATACAAAGTCTATATCTAGACGAGTCGTGTAAAATAATTTCATCAGTAAAAAATGTCATCTTATTACAGACAAAAGTACCTAGTACTACTGGCCATCAAGAGTTTGTAGATAATATGTGGTGAGGTTTGAACCTGAGTGTCTGACAGTGTAATTACCGTGTTCAATCAGTCATAAGGGAGTGGCCCATCACTTTTTTCCCCGTTCAATATTTTTGCGTTAATTTTATTTTTCGCTTTGAGACAAAGGGATCGCGCATTAGCCGCGCCGCGCGGCCGCTGCATAAATGAGGTTTCGTTGAACCAAATTACACATGCTCGCCTCGATTGTACAGCGTTTATTTACTTCACATTGTACTTAAGAGCAATAACTAGGGCCTCCAAACCTTCAATTTCCGACGCCGTGCCCTTTTAAATTTGCACACTTTAACTTTTTTATTATACTTTCCCTTTTCATTATCTAATTCAAATCACTCCATTCTCAAGATATTTTTCCCTATAATAATACTCGTTTAATTTCTCAATGTATTCATATCTAACAAAATTAATCGTCGAATAAAAGCTATTTGAATTCATAAACGAAATATCAGTAAAGCTTCCTTGAACCGGGTCCATTAATTACAGCGTTAAAAGCTTCTGCCGAGTCTGTGGGAGCCAGCCTGACCGGCCAATTAAATATTTCAAAAGGATTAGCATAGATTGACACCCGCTGATTTCACACGCACGCGATCTTCACCCGACGCCGACGTCTATCATTACAAACTTCCAAATGAACAATATGATCCGATTAACTTTAATAATAGCATACGTTAATAGTTCTCACATATCGGCTCGTAAAAATTTAAGACACTTTAACGGACCCTAAAGCTCTTCCGATGTTTACCGAACACACATCTGGACCGCGAGACTTTCTATTATGTATTCATATTGGACACCCACTAATTAGTACACAAAACTTAATGCGAGACAATAAGTGTGTATGCATTTAGAGTATATACGGTGTCCTCGCGTATACTCAGACCAGTTCGGCGAGCCATTGACAAAATTATTCTTTAACACGACAGTGTAGAGATCAACAGTGTCCGATAACCATGAATATTGAACATATCTTACCTATGTCTCGACTGCTCGTCAATGTACGGCCACTTAAGAAATTTAAATATTTGGCTTTGAGCAAAGGAAAGCGTTAGAATTCAAGTGATCTCGGCTCCGCTCGGCCTTAGTTGACTTACGAACAATTTAAAAATTAAATACTACTCAAATGAGTCGTTAAATAGGCCTTAACTAAAGACATGAACAGACATGCATCGGTTGTAATCATATCAATATTCCGATAAAAATATATTAAACAAAATTGAAAGGTATATTTATTTAAATAAATGTTATATTTATTTAAATAACCTCTAAATTATAAGAAGAAATTATTCCTTTTTCTCCCCGATGTAATATGCTTATAAGCCTTTTCTCCATAACGAATACCTTTAAGCTAAATGTTTTAGTATTTCAGCGCTCAAATAAAGGTCTGTCATTTCTAAAGTTATGTCGCTTTCACGGCGAGCTTTACCGGTCTCTAGTGTTTACTCAGTATTTATGATTTAACAAAACAACACCAAATGTTAAAAACACATTATTTGTCCAACTGAGACGAATGTTAACTTACGATTCCGTCGTACGGCCGCATTTGTCTCCAACACGTTTCTCAGGTTAAGTTCGCTTAAAGGCGTACAGCGCATTGTCGAGTTTTCAGCTCAATACTCCGTCATATTTGCTCACAATTTTAATAACTGAGTGAATACTCTGTACAGTACAAAGGTGCGGAAAGGCGTATAATAAATCGTTTTACGAGCCATAAAGTATTATTAAAATTTTAAATTGATTAATAAGTTATTTTCAGTAACCGTTACCGTTCAGCGACCACTTAAGATTATATTATTTTATAAACGACTCAGTTCATTTGCATTTTTTCGATGTATAGCTGATTGTAATATTGTTTATAAAAGCAAACAATTCTAAACTTGTATACACTATCGTATAGAGAACAGACAGCATCGCCAAAAGGATATGTAATTTCAAACTCTGTGACAAAGACTAGTAGAGTATTGTATACGATTATGAATCATTTCATTAATTAACTTATAGAGGAAGTTCACATGACGTTAAATGTTGTTATGTGACACTCAGCAAATAAAATTGATGGTATGTTTGGGTTGGGAAGTTAATTCTTCCAGGAACTATGACTGCGCTATCAATGGGATGACTTCATAACCGTAAACCTACTGAAATATTAGTCACCTGTTAGACGTAGGAAGCGAGATGTACACTTCATGGAACCATTGACCATTTGATATCTGTCAATTACCTAACAAATAATAAGGGGAATTGTAAATAGTTACTGGTCAAATACAATTAAACTAATAAAAAAATATTAATATTAATGTCATGTATTTGAAATTTATTTACATGAAATTTATTTACACACTTCAAAATAAATTCGTATAACAAAACATTCAATTTCTTTAATTTTCATTATGTCAACAAGATTAACTCTCTTATTATATCAGTATTAGAACCAATAATGACATTACATAATTTAAAAACAATATTTATTGTCACTTTATATATTGATGATATGTTTTAGTGACCATTATTAATTAAAAATAAATAAATAAGTAAGATTTTGGTAATATAATTCTTATTGCTTAAATAAAAAATAATTATTACAAAGGCAGAGCGGTTTCTATTCTTTGTAGAAGAAAAAATAGTCTTATCTCTCATTAAGTAGCTTGGCCTTGTAAGAGTCTATATCAATTGTCATGCTCAATACCAAAATTAATTAAGTTGGTAGTACACTATGTAAAGATAATTTTTAATGGGTAAAAAAATATAATAATATTTTTTTTTTATCCCATTAAAAAATATATCCAAATCTGTCAGGCTATTAAATAATAAATTAATATGTATAAATTTTATTGGAGGCATTTTTCCTATTGTTGAAACATATTTACAATAGCGCATTCTGAATTAATTTCGTTATTCAGCTTTATAAACAGCTACGAAAGATTTTTTAAATGTTCGTTAAAGGTATTGAAAAGGTGTAAAATATTTTTACTTAAAACTTGTAACGAAAAGTTGTATAATAACTTTTCTTTCGCAACTGGTTGTGAAACTGAGTTGCGAAAGTAGATCGACAGACAGGAATATTCAAAATAAAATTTTCAACGAATTCCGCAGTTATCATAAGGTCTAGATAACATTTGTAATACAATGCGCTTAAAAAGTAAATAATGAGTAATCTTTTATAATAATCGAGGCAAACTGGCTAGCGTAGTGTCAAGCATACCTACGTCTAGTCATTGTTTAAAAGAAGCTACTATTATTTTATGTGATTATAGCTATTTTTTTAATAATAGTCAATATTTTTAGTAAATATATGTGAAAAAAAAATCATAAAAAAGCACATATTAAAAAAAACATTCATAAATAGTACATATTTTGCAATTTTTACTTTAACTTTAGAGCAAAGTTTGATTCAGGTACACTGAGGATACTCTACTATACTTTAGGACTTTATCCTAATGAATAAGGAGACATAATTACTTATCTTCTTTTTTTAAATAAAATATGTCACCTAGATATTAATCCAAATGTCTATTGCTTGGCATTTTACTTAAAGTTATAAACAAGCACATTTCAAGTAATATTAATTCGTTTTAATGACGTTATTTATGAATAATGTAAAACAAGTACAAATATGCTATAAAATATAACATAGATTTATAATATAGAATTACGTGATGATATCTCACAGTGTTATAACTCAAGGTCTATTTTATACAAACTCTTTGTTTACGTTTTAATATAAAGTTGTTTATAACCTAATTATATAATGTGATACTTTAAAAAAACTCACAAATATCTGAGACACGGTAAAAATAAAACGAATATTCTATATTATATAAAAAAATTAACGTCGAAAGCTCAATTCCTTATCGTAATGACACTAGAAGCTCGATGCTGGTACTATGTAAGCGTTAGGTATACGTATGGATGCCACAGCCTCGACACGAATACTCCGCCGCACTAAACTATTCACAATATATTATACACTTAATTCATATGTATTATACACGCACGCTCGGTGGCGTAAGACCCTAAATTCCTTGTGTCATTCCCAAATCTCTATGCTATTTAGGTACAAACAATAGACTTATAAATAATTCTTAAAAGTATCGTGGAGAGCTTCAACTATAAAATAAGACTAATAAGTTTAGCTTGTAGTTAATAGCGTACTTAGATATTAATATCATGAAATTAAATATATAATAATAATGATTTCAACATTGTGGACAATTTCAATACAGTGTTTTTGTATTTTTTGATAATTTTTCTCTATCTAAAAATATTCAGATAATTTCAGTATATGAATTCCTTAGATTAATGCGTTAATGATATTCTATTAAAAATATTTTTCGTTCCTGATAAATCTTCAAATTAACAACTAATTCAATTCCTCGAATTATATACTGAGGTTCCTCTAAATTGTAATTAGTCTAAAAAGATCTCTAATGTATACTTTTCAGTTTATAGAGATTCTATATCACAGTTTTCATTAATGATAAATCAGCTTTTCTTTAATTTATATCTTTCGAAACCTTCCTGGTGTTATTATTGATCGCAACTGTAACAATATTTATATTATGTATTTATAGATGTCCATTATAATTATCTAACATTCATTCTCTTTTGTTACAGTTCTCCTACAATATCCGGCAGCTCTACAAATCGCTCGTAGTGTACCAGGAACTGTTCAAGATATTTAAACAAGTCGGCGTCATATCACCCGACATACAAATCACGAACTACAACACCAAACGAGAAGACTTCTTCAAGAAGACCATCGATGATCTGTACAGCACCATAGAGGATATAAAAGACGCAATGGTCCGTGTCAAGATGCCCATACCTAAAGTAGATTCCCCGAAACGTTTGAAACTCGACACGATAGAAATGAAAGTGAACTCAGCAAAATATTTAAAAAATGACGACATACTTTTTAGAGGTTACGGTAATCTATTAGATAATTGGCATCTAGAATTAAATTGCTCTAAAGTCACGAAACCAGTCAAAAAGGGTATGCTAGACAAATGTATGCAGTACCGGAAAAGTCTCAAAGAGAAACGCAACAAACGCAAAAGGAACAAAAGAAGAAAGCTCCTCTAACTTTAATTAATATTTCCTTTTAAAAGCACATCAATAATTGACTGTATATAAAAAATTGCCACTTCTAGTATTTATTGATGGACAAGAAGCTCTCTGTGAGTTTTAGGCATAATTTTTTAAAGTATTTGGCATTACGATTAAGTATTGGGTACTTTTTCTGTGATATTTAGTTAATTAATTTATTTAAAATGTAGCATTTAAGTGATGAATTCAATGTACTTATACGTTCTCTCTGCTTTATTGTGTAATCTCCTATTTATTCTCAAAACGCAGATTGTTGTGAATATTTTCTAGAATTTTTTATGCATAGCATAAAAATTATGTTGTCCTAGCTGTAGGTGATAAATAATTGCGTATAGTATTATTGAGAGGCAAATAATTTGCCTCCTTCGCCAAGAAAGACTTAAGTATTTTTAATTACATTATTAATTTATGTTTATTATTTAAATGCGCACAACTTTGATGTTGGAAAATGTTTAAAAGAAGTATGAATATGACGATGTGAAAGGATTTTTTTATAAGGTAGATGATGAAACAATGAACTGATGACTTACCTCTTTAATATTACTGATCTGTAATGTAAAATGGACATTAATTGCAAATATATCATCTATATCATAAGATTATTTGGCATACGTTTTATCAACATTCTATTACTTGAACATTACGAATCTGTAATATAAAATGAACGATTCAATGCATATCTATAATTTTTAACATAAGACCATTTGACATACGTTTCATAAGCATCCTACCGTTTGAATATAATCGAGCAGTAAAATAAATGGACAATTTAATGCAAATCTACAATTATGAACATAAGATCATCTGTCCTATATTTTATAAACACCCTACTATTTGATTATTACCGATCTGTTATATTAAATGGACAATCTAATGCAAATCTATATTTTTAACATAAGCCTGTTTGACATACGTTATAGAAATATACTAGCACTTGAATTTTACCGATCTGTTATATTGAATGGACAATCTACTGCAAACCGTTTTTAATATAAGACATTTGACATAAATTTTATAAACATGAAATAAATAATTTGAATATACTGTTTTTTTTTTTGTAATCATTACCCACTTATTATTTAATATCCTATACTGATAAGTTTACTACAATCTAATAGAGGTACAGGAGTACGACATTGCTGACAATTCTGTTGTGCCGTTCAGTGAACTGTGTGATCCTGTCCTCCATGGATCCTGGCAACCTCATAATTGACATAAATCGAAAGCAAGGCAACCTATATTTTTGCAAATATTCTCACCAATAGCACTAATTAAAAAAAAAAATTTTTTTTCAGTGATGCTTTCTGATTTAGGTAGAGAAATCTCATATATATTATCAAAGTAAATGTTACATAACATATAAACTTTGTCACAAACAAAGCATAGATAAAGGTAAAAGAAGGTTAATAAAGTAAGAAATTACTAAGTACGTGCTAAGTACTAGCATTAAAATACTGGTTAGAATTGTAGTTTGACCAACCGTTGGTCCTACAGATGATTTAATGCGTAATAATGGATCAACTTTTATCGCTACTAAAGGAATTGGATATTTACAAAACCTTGTCTCATTTATTTGAAAGAATACATACCTATTGCAAAATTTCGATCTACCTAATGCAATATGTATCTTTTCAATACCTCTAAATTATATTTGATCAATATTGCATCCGCATCACTGTACTGATAAATATATTTAAGAAAAATACTTTATAAAAATTACCCCAGCCCCAGGCAGGTTGATGGGTGGATTAGCTGAATGAAAGTATGCTAAATATTAACGTAAGTAATAACTGCTTGAGAAATTTGTCAGTCCTGTTGGGTCTCGAATTAGAGCAGTCGCCTAGACTGTGGAAGGTTCTAAGTTCGATTCCCATCTTGGAATGCTTGGGACTGGTGATTTTTCAGGCATTTTTCATTAAAACTTCACATTATCTACCTATATATTAAAAGGCACACTGCCTTAATATTCCTATGACATTTTACACTGTATAAAAATAATAAAATAAATAATATTACCGATATATCATTAAGCGATATATCATTTATTTCCTATACCTGTATTATTCAGGATTTCAAGATGGCAAAATCCTGTCGTAAAGTACATATCAAAGATACTACAACTAGCAGACTGGAGACTATTTATATTTTCAAAGTATAAACGTTAATTATAATAATTATATTTTTTATATTTGATCAATTTCGCAATCGCAATGCTATACTGAAATATATTCCTAATGAAAAATGCTTAAAAATCAACTTTGTTCCTAGCTCTGTAATAGCTAAAAAGTAACAAGTACTTGAAAAATTCGTCAGTCCTGTTAGGTCCTGGGTAGATCAGTGGTTACAGCAGTCGCCCGGATTGCAAAAAGGTCATGGGATCGGTTCCCATCACAGAGTGCCATAGACAAAGTATACAAAATAGACAAAGCATTTTTCATTAAGAATATTTATTTAAACCTTTAAATTTGAAACCGGCGTATAGCCAGACACGTAGGTCGTCTTCTCTCTTTCAACCATCTTTATATTCATCCACGTCCATACTCATTTAAGTTGTCACCATCTCACGGTTCATTTACCGATCGGGTCAATATAGAAATTAAACTTTACCGTATTGTCTCTGCGCTGGGTTTTGTGCCTTCTTTGTTATTTCAGATTCCTGTATTACATATGCTTTAGCTGCTATGGGATATATGTATAGGATATTGTTGTTAAATTCCATCATCCCATGTCCACATCTCAATATTGTCACTTGCACTACTTACAAAGACATACACGTACTTCTGTAAAAAAGTTTCGTCAAAAAATCTTCGATAGAAAAAGAAATAGTAAAAAGTACATTTATTTTCGTATTTTTTATATTTCTAATAAAAAATGTAAGCAATGTTTGTGTAAACAAATAACTGGCGATAAAATTATTTGAGGGTTGTTTCACGAAGTATCTACCTTTAGAAGTTTTAGAAGATTTTTACTACATAGACTATAAAGCACTCATATACATGAAATAAAGTTTATCCCTCCGCGTTCGTCTATTGAAATCCTACCGCACTTATTTTCGATGCGGTTCTGTGTAGATTCACCGCAGCTCATGTCGACTTAATCCTAATTTTGGCGACTAGCTACTTTGTTGATATAATTAAGGAGACTTTCTATGTACATTTTGTGGCCATATCTTAAAATTGATCATTTCATGATCCGCCCAGCCATTTCAAGAAAAGATTCTAAATCATGAAACGGCCACCTAAAATTGATCATATCAACGTTTAATGACATAGCAATTCACATTTGGTCATATTATTAATGTAGGGTGACCAAAAAATAAATCTAATTATTTGCTGAACTAGTTTGTTTATTCATTAGCGTTATGGTTATGTGATCTGAAAATAAAAATAACGAAATTTAATATAATCGCTACAGTACGCTTTGTGACTGTCTTAAATTTCTAACCTATTACGTAATCATAGGGAATTTAGTTCAATTCATATCTCAAAAAACTTTTCTATTTTCTAATATATTTTATAATTATATATAATCCGGTCTTGTTCGTGTATTTTTTATATAACATATAATTATAATGTATACAAATCGTGTGAGTTTAAAAAAAATTCTAATATATTGTTATCATCCTCTGCAGCAAAATCAAAATAAACTAACAAAAAACTATAGAATTGACTTTTTCACCCCACCTTCGCACTACACTCCTGCAATTATCTCACTATACATAATATAATCGGACTGTGATTCCACTAAATCTTTGGATAAAATTCTTAAATCTTTCATAAAATATAAGCCTTTATGTAAGACTTAAGAATTGAAGAATATTAGGGTATAATCATCTCCTGAAAAGGAGTTCTTTTTGTATTTATATTTATGGAATTCGTAATTTATAATCTATTATTATAAATTACGAATTACAACAATTAGATTAAAAAAATATATTAATCAAAATTCATGCAACTAGCGCCATCTATGTTAACATAAAATATATAATATATCATGTTATTCCGTTTATACTTTAGTAAATAGTTCTGCTATTCCCTACTAGGTGGCGCATAAATTGAAAATAAATGACGCATGGACAAATTATGTGCTGCCATCTCTTTCTATTACTAAAACTAAAATCTAGCCGTCGTGGTAGCGTCATCTACTTATTAGTTTTCTGTGTAAGTCGTTTCTATTATACACGAGATGGCGTTGTTCACAATTTATTACTTTTAATTTTTTTTTAATGTAGAGTTGAATAGAAGCAATTTTTTAATATATAAAAGAATTTAAAATAACATATTATTTACGATTTCATTAAATTAACAAACAGTACATTATGCTTGAAAGAAAAAATTAGTTATAAAGGACTAGAGGTCTTGCCGTGAGTCCGTCTGCATAAAGTAGAAGCTACTATTTTAAGAAAAATAACTATGGACTAATTTTTAGAGCCTAATGATATTAGTTCCAGAGTCTAAAATCTTTTCTATTTCTAAAATTAAAATATGAACACATTCATTAATAAAATCAATTAAATGTCCAGAGGCTTAAGCTCTTGCTAGAGTTAGGCGCCTGTAATACATTATAGACAGACCGAATCCCATGAAAACCATAACATTTACAAAAATGCAGTCTAGCAACGCAATTCTTCTACTGTAAAAAAATATGAAACATCGTAAAGAACAATGTATAATTTTCGCCCGAGCACCGTTGGCATGCAATTTATAAACATAAATATTAACTCATTTTATGCTATAATAATCAAATATTAGTATAAAACAGACACTTCAGATTCTCATAAATATTTTAAACTAGCTTTCGCCAGCGGCTTCGCCCGCGTGGACCCTAGGGAAATGTTTAGTGGGATAAAAAGTATCCTATTATCTAAGTCAGCTGATACCCTATATGTATACCAAATTTCATCAAAATCCATTCAGTAGTTCGGCGTGATTGACGGACAAACATCCAAACATCTAAACATCCAAACAAAGTAACTTTCACATTTATAATATTAAAAGGATAGGATAGCATAACCGTTGATGTTATCGTATCCTATTAAACCCGCCGGACATTTTAAATAAAAACAAAATAATCACTTTGCATTTTCAGCGCTTTAGCGAAACTGTGGTTTATTAACTGCAGTTTTGCTTTGATTGAAAATGTATACCTATAACGTTAAAGCGCTTGACAGCGCTACATTGACTTGCTCTTTTGACATTCATGTCCATGTCAATTGTCAGTCATTCTCATCATGTTGTTGCTAAGTACTAAAATATTAGATTTATATTTTAATAGATGCTACTCTGAATGGCAGATATGCTTTAAAAAGCTAATATGTATTATTGGGCGCAGTAACCAATGGTCCTGCGTCCAACAATACATTTGCAACAATATTTTTATATATGATATAATGACTCTAATATGGTACTTAAATTGGGCAAGGTACCAGACTTCCATCATCAACCCTCCTGCACAGTTTTTGGATGATATTTTAATGGATGATGTAGATAATGTTTCCGAACATAATTAAATTATAAAAGGAACTGTACTAGAATGTTTTATATAGATGATTTTTAGAAATACAGTTCTTTTTCTAAAGTATTTATTGTTTTATTTCATTTCCACAGGTGAACCACTTATTTTAAAGATAAGCTGCCTAATCAGTTATCTGTGCTAGTTCTTTATCCTCTTGCCTGTTGATCAAGCTCCTCGAGCATTCAATCATCATCATCATCATCTTAACCTTATTTCCAACTTTTATTTATGTTTATTAATCTTCTAGAGATATCTGTCAAAAATGTAACCTCATAATTGAAAAGATTTTTGTATTATTTACGATTCTCTGAAGTGTCCGTTAATTATATTGAATTTGAGTCGAATGTATACGTTATTTAGAACATTAAAAATATTTTTTCGTAACTAACGGCCTTCGGGCGAACAATGTATGAGTGAGAAACAATGTCCGTTACTTTTTAATATAAACTAGGAATTAAACGATACGAGTAACACAAGCACTCATTCAATACTTTGCATTCGATACCAAGTACTTATACTTTAGAACCGAGAAACAAGTTGTATCGTTTTTGTATCGGTATTTGGTAAGTCACTCACCGAGGAGTGTCAAAACCTCGCGTGCATAAGACGTTTAGCTTTTGTAGATATTGACAAGCAAAAGTATCAAATCAGCTCTAAAAATTATATAAATGACGACGATGGTAAAACATTTTAAAACTATTCGATACATGTAACCATCGATACTTTTAATTCGATACTGAGTAGATATAGTATACCTCATGACCAATAAAGTATCGAGTAAGCATCGATACCTAGGTGGTATCGATATGTAGATAGGTGGTTGAAATAAATAAAAAATGTTATGTACATTAGATGTTTATAAATGTTCTTATAGTTTGTAAATGACATGAAATTTGAAAATATCATTTTGTAGCAGCTTCGAAATTTTGAAATATCATCGATGTAATATAGAAAAAAAATCTTATTACTATCCAAAAAACTTCGAAAAAAGCCATAAGTTGACTGTGAATTTCTCCTATCTACAATAATATCATTGAACAAAATTTGTACCACAATAATTATTACTTCATAAGGAAACAAAGATTTCATAATTTTTAACACAAACTTAATCCTTTTTCAATAAAAACGACAAATATAAGAACAAAATTACTAAAAAATGCGATGCACCCACCGCCCGAGCTATTTATATAGCAGCGAGTTTGTATTTGTAATAGGCACATAACTCATGTGTAAAAGGGCTCTAAAAATTTCCGCCTACGTATCTCCAAAAAGATCTCGATATAATCACTTGAAAAGATACAAGATCACTTATTACTATCTTATTAAAGACACAAGATACTTATCGGTGTTCTCAACAAGTATAATGACAAGTTGATCGATGTGTTTTGTAATAGGTATCCGGAAAACGGAGCTTGCAATAGTTGTACCTTTTCTGTTGGCACAAAGTGTTAGTCCTATCAAACTGCGTTTTTAATTCTATAAGCACGAAGATAGTCAGGCGCGGTCTCAAAGGGGAAGAAGTACCGGCAACGTGACCCTGTAAGTACACGTTAGTAAAAAAATCTTCTAATAATTTACAGAGTAAAAAAAAACTCTTATTCTTAATGACAAAAACTTAAAAAAAAACGATTTGTCTCTGGCACTCTAACCCACAACATGTCGCAATCTACCCTAAGAAGTCTAACGAATATTGAATTTCTCTAGCACTTGTTACCTTTTCGCTACTACAGAGCGTACTTTCATCAATATTCAGGCAATCCACTCAAACAGCCGAAAGAAATATTTAAACTTTCAAAAAAGATAATATTTTTTTCTAATCATGAAATTTGATTAATTTTGCATTCACATGCTCTCATGAAAAATACTCAAAAACCACCTGGGTGTTCCTCAGCCGTTCTGCGGCGCTTCCCGGTATCGTCCATGAGACACTACCCGGGGCACGCAGCCGGTCGTCCGAACGGACCCTTCATCATTGGAGCTTAGCTCCCTTGGATAGTACGTGGGGACGCGACGGAACACAGTCGCGCCCTGCCACCACGAGAACCATATTATGGGACGACAGAGATTCCCCGTTTCCGCCGTCCGGCTCTCACCGCGGGAAAAGGACTAGGCCGTCTGCCCTCTCCCATTCTTCCCGCAGTCCTCATGCTGTCATCATATCTTGGCAGTCTCCATGGCCTCCGACTCCGGAACGGTAGTCGAAGCTGGCCCGGAGGTTTTCTCCCTGCGTTTTGCCCTTTGTGGGGGTTTGCATGACTTACCCCCCAGCATATGGTTCGACGCTGCTCCAGCCGCCGCGCACACCATGCAGTGTGAGGCAGCAGTGCACTCTCTAGCCTTATGATTAGGCCCTCCACATCGGAGGCACAGGGCGCTCCGGTCAACCCGATCGTATTTTGCCACAACATGGCCCAATTCGTGACATCTAAAGCACCGCATCGGTTTCGACGGCAAGATGTTTATAGCCACCGAGACCCAGCCCACCAGTAATCGTTTTCTGCCACCCTCGATCAGCTTTTTGGCGGCAGAAATCGGACACCTAACCACTGCTGTGCCCATGCCGCGTCGACTTTGTCGAATCTCGCTCACTAGCACCGTGTCAGTTTGACACCCTCCTTGTTCGGATACAGCCTCATGTATATCCAGCGCCTCCACAGCGTCGTCCAATCCCGATATGCGGAATGCAGCCGTTTTCATCGGCCGAGACACCTCGGCTATCTCCGGGTCTATCAGTTCCCTCATGCGGACAAGCAATTTCTCGGTCAGTTCCTCGATGTCGTCACCCGCCACCTCTATGAGGCTGGCGCCCGTTGCCGCAGCTTTATATTGGAAGCCGCCCTTGGTGATAGTTGATAGTAGGTTGTTGAGGGTTTCCCTTTGACGTACCTTTAGTTCTAGCTCCCCGCTTAGTGACGGTCACCCAACCTTCCTCGGCAGAGGTGGCGGGTGGAGCAGGTTGCGTCGCCTGTTGAGCGTTGGCCTTCGCTTTCTTCGCCTCCTTCTTTTTTAACTTGCGCCCCTTAGATGTAGTAGGGGCGTCAGTTGAGGGCCCAGCAACGGGTTTTGCCGAGCCCACTGCTTGTAATCTTCTTTTGTCTGCCTCAAGAGGCGGTCGTAAACTTTCCTCCGGCGGTAATCGACGGGCAAGCCCTTCTATGCGGGCGCTCACCATTGTGCCTGTCTGGTCAATGATAAGCCGCTGGAGCTCTTCGATGGTCATCTCACCCACGGTGGTCTGGCGACGCTCCCGACTAGCAGGTGTACGAGCACGTTTGAGCTCATCCTGAACAAGCCGCAAGCCCCCTACATCCTCTCGCAGTTTGGCGTTATCTGCAGAGATTCGGGATATTTCTGTTTTGGCGCATTTGAGTTCCGTCATCGTACTTTGAAAGCGGCTTTCCAACAGCTTCGTGTCCTCATTTACATTGCGCTCGTAGAGGCCTCCCAACATTTTAGTAATTAAGGTCGCCGCGTCCTTAAGGGCTTTGATAGAAGTCCCTTTAAGATTGCCCGACTTCGCGGCGACTTCAAGTACAACAGCAACACTGTCCATGCCCCGTTGGAGCACCTCACAGGTCACCATTTTTCTCCACGTCTTCCTCTGGTGGCTCATCTAAACTGTCTCTCAGTCTTGGGGGTGGCCGCACTTTTTGTGCGACCTCCTCAATCTTGTCCTCCGCTTCCAGTCTTTCTTGGAGCTCTCTGGCCGCTCTAGCTTCAGTTACCATTCTGCCCACTCCTACATATTGCCCAGTTGTTGGCGGGCGACCTCTACCACGTCTCTCTCCAGCTATTACTTTGGCCGGGGTCGTGGTACTCTCACCGGAATCGTCTGACTCGTCCGAGAGGGTTCGCTCAAAAGAGCGAGGACGTTTACGCCCAGTCCTGTCCGATGTGTAGGAGCCCACAGTCATCTGAGATGAGCAGGATGAACTGCGACTCCTAGTTGTCCTATCCGATCCTTCAGTTTCCTTCAATGTCATAGACACTGGTAGTGGTGTGCGTGTAAGTCGGACAACTGGCTCCCGTGATGTTGACGGGGCCGGCTGTTTGAAAACAGCCTCCTCTGACTCCTTCGTTTTTTCCGCGGACTGCAGAGTAGTCTTTGGCGGCTCCTTCGACTTCTCGGACTTCGCTTCCGCATCACCAAGACGTCCAAACATATTTTTAAAATTAAGTGACTCCATAACTAAACCCTCGAGTATGGGAGAAAACAAAAAGTCCACCCGGGCAGAGATCCCAGTACCCGGGTAACCCTATTACACCTCGGAGGTCGGGCGGTATCCGAGGGTTGGCGCTAGCGGGCTGACTATCCTGTCAGCCACCCGAAGGCGCCCCGACGTCACGTGTCCCAACGCCGGGACTTTAGGGATTTTTTAGAGAGGTTATCTCCTCGCAGGGACACCCAATAAAGGGCAGCCCCCCCGGCCCCACTCCGCGTGAGGTTACGGGTCGGCCAGTGGTTGCCTAAGTACCCGTTGGTCATGACTACCATGACCCAACGAGCCCACCGCCCTCGCTGGCACCGCCGCTACCCAGAATAATTCCAGGACGCCGGTCCAGCCCGGACCGCGCAGCCGCTACCCAGCATAAGGCTGGGACGCCTGCCCGGAACCTTCCTCCCGTGCCCGGCTGCCGCTACTCGGAATATGTCCGAGACGCCAGCCAGAGACAAAAGAGGGGTTTTGTTGTTCGTTAGCGCCACCCTGGGGACACGTGCAGGGTAACTAAGGGCAAAATCACAATGGGTGTGAGGATGGCGATGAGGCGTAGGGAGCGGACCTTTCGCACTTACAAAAGGGATCGTTGTCTTGAAAAGCGGGATCTCTTCAAAATTGCTAGGAATCGGTGTAATCAGATGATACGTAATACTAAAAGACGCCACATTCTCAATAATATTACTTCTTCATCTTCTGCCGATATCTGGAAGTTTCTTGGAACTCTAGGTATCGGGAAATCGCGACATTTAGATCTATCTAATTCAATAAACTTAATTGATCTCAATCGTCATTTCATTACGTCGTCGAACTTAGATTGTCTAGCTACGTCTCGTACCGTAGATTATGTAAATGGTCTAACGCGTCCAAATATTGACCCTTTCTTTTTTTCACAAGTGACACCGACAGAGATAAAAAAAACTATGCTATCCATTAAATCCAATGCAGTGGGGTGTGATAACATTAGTCGTCGCATGATTATTATTATACTTGACCATCTACTCCCTGCAATAACGCACATTGTTAATTCCTCCCTTAATTCCGGCGTTTTTCCTACCCTCTGGCGTAAAGCTTATGTCCGCCCTCTTCCTAAAATTCCCAATCCAGTTGAATTAAATCAATTTCGTCCGATTTCTATTCTCCCTTTTATGTCGAAAGTGCTTGAGGCCTGTGTCCATAAACAATTTTCCCAATTCGTTCACAAGAATACCTTGTTGAATCCACTGCAATCTGGATTCAGAAAAGGACATAGCACTGTTTCGGCACTCCTGAAAGTAACTGGCGATATTAGGGCAGGAATGGAGAAAGGTAAAATAACTTGTTTAGTTCTGATAGATTTCTCCAACGCCTTCAATACTGTCAGTCATGATATCTTTCTTTCTATAATATCTTATCTTATGGTGTCTGACGAAGTGTCTACTTGGTTTTCTTCTTATCTTCGGGAACGCCAGCAGTTGGTGCAGACTGACACATTGTCGTCATCCTGGGGCAGTCTAGAAACTGGCGTTCCCCAAGGCGGCATTCTTTCTCCTCTTCTCTTTTCCATTTTTATTGATTTTATCACTCACCAGCTTCAGTGTTCGTATCATCTGTATGCTGACGACTTACAATTATATACTGAATCAAATATTTATGAATTGGATAACGCCATTGATCAGTTAAATAGTGATTTAGTTGCGATCACAACATGGTCATCTAATTTTGGCGTTGCAGTTAATCCCACTAAATGTCAAGCCATACTGCTGGGTGGGTCACGAATCATGGCGACAATTAACGTTAATAATCACAGATGTATTATGTATGACGGCACTTCAATACCATTCAGCAGCAGTGTAAAAGATTTAGGGCTATATATCGACTCTAATTTTAATTGGCAGGCTCAAACCAGTACTGTGTGCCAAAAAGTAACGGGGATTTTAAGAGCCCTTTACCGCCAAAAAAATTTTTTACCACCTAATATTAAGGCAATGCTTGTGCAGTCCTTAATTTTTCCTATCATTGACTATGGTGATGTATGCTATCTCGACCTGAATGCAGATCTCCTCAACAAGCTTGACCGTCTTCAAAACAACTGCATTCGATTCATTTTCAACCTTAGGAAATATGATCATGTCTCTGCAAAGCGAATTCTTCTAAACTGGATGCCAATACGACAGCGAAGGAATATGCGAGCTCTGACCACCTTGTTTTCGTTATTGGACTCTCCTAACGCTCCTACTTATCTCACATCTCACTTCCAATATCTATGCAATTCCCATACTAAAACTCTTCGTTCCCAATCCAATCGTTTACTCAACTGTCCATCTCACAGATCCGATATCATTCACTCTTCGTTCTTTGTTAAGGCTATCCTTCTATGGAATGAGCTCCCCTTAGAAATCCGAATGTCCACCAGTAAATTAATTTTTAAGAAAAGGTTACGTGGCTATTTTTCGAAAGAACTGGATTCGTCGATTTGATACTTTTATCGTATATTTATTATATGTATGTATATAGTATATATAGATTATGTACGCATATTGATATATATGTATTTGTTATAGATTTTATGTATTATAAGTTTTTATGTAACTACTTGTTTGGAAAGAAATCTTTATTCTTTAGTTCCATTGTGCACCTTGCCACCATCGGTTTCCCCACAGCACGCTAAGGTTGACTGGGAGAGGATGCCTAAGGCATTAGGTCCGCCAATGTACTTTTTTGTGCATGAAGAATTAAATAAATAAATAAATAAAAATCCTGCGGACGTGAGCAACTTGTCCCCCGAGCTACCCTACCTAACCTAACAGGACTGACGAATTTTTCAAACACTTGTTACTTCTTCGCCTCTACAGAGCGCATTGTTAAAGAACCGAAAGAAATATTATTACAAATATTTAAACTTTCGATAAAAATGAAAATTTGTTCTAAAAAAATGAAAAAATATAATAAATATTTTTATCTAAACTTAAAGAAACGTAAACAATAAAAAAATATGAGATGTCTAATGTCTAATATGTGAACAAATGCAGATATACTTACATTTATAAAATTTAGCGGCATTCCAACAAAAATGATTTTTTTTAATTGTTTTGTTTAAAGATAACACTTTTTTAAAGTTTGTTAATAATTTTTATTTTTATTTATTTTGCTTTAATTTATAGAAAAGTAATATAACAGAAATGCCATTATTTAGCATAGGAAACAGTATCAAGTTTGGAGGTCACCGCCGACGCCACAGATACATATACTAGTACACTACATACAATACGTATGTAGGTATCACTTACCATAGTTTGTAATGATAATTTTACATATTATAAACAAAGCACTCATACATATTCACTGCATTTAAAACCGACAGCAAAAAAAGTTCTTAATTTGACTGAATATATTTTTTTATATAGATATAGGTTTCATGATATCTTTGTCAATGGTAAAACGAATCTGATTATTCTTTTATTATTTGATAGAATATATTATCAAGGACATCCCTTTATATCATAGGTGAATTTTCCTGTCTTTCCTAACAAAAAACAGACATATCGTAATTTTATAGAAATAGTTTTTTTTTTTAAACTGAAAGAAATACTTCGTTCTACATGTCATTGTCTCAAAAAAATCTAAAATAGTAATTACCTACCTAACTATTTATATCTTACACTATATCCTTTGCGGGGAGGGTAGAAAAATAATGAAGAAAAATTTTGAATACCGGTTTCAAGGTCGCCATCTCTGAGGTCCCGGGTTCAATTCCCGGTCGAGTCAATGTAGAAAATGAACTTTTCTATATTCTCTCGGGTCTGGGTGTTGTGGTACCTTCCTTGTCTCAGATACTCCATAAGACGGGGGCTTTAGCTACTCATCTTGGATTCTGAGCAATGTATATGATGTTATATATTAGGTCCATAGGTCCATATATAAATCCCGTCGCTATTGAAGGTCAATGCTGCAAACGTTTTATTCATTTGGAATGCTATTCTCTACCAACGCGTAATGTATAACCAAACGTATCTAATCGGCAGTTAGTTCTCCATAAAATCTTACAACGTTACTCCTAGCCCAAAACACGTATTTAAAAAAAAAAGAAAACCTCATGGCCCTTTAACCTCTTCAGGTAATGGCACAAAATTCAATAGATTTATTAGTTTCGGAACTCAAAATCAGCTATGACTGAAGTATTGACAGAAAAATGATCTTATAATTATCTCCAGCCTATTAATGACCCTACTACTGGGGCACAGGCCTTTATGATGGATGTGCCTAGTCAAATCCCAGTGCGGATTGGTGGATGTTAACGATCAAGGGCTTAACTTGCTTTCCGAAGCCCGTGCTTCGATGACGAAGGAGCTAGAGATGATTTTTGGTTACCCATCCTATGAAGGCTCTTATGAAAGTTTGAAAATGAAAATGAATTTATTGCGACATTACCAGAACATATTAATGAAACACTGGCCTCTGAATTTAAGTAACTTGTGTCTCAGAAGCCAGTTGCTTATAAACTTTATCATAGACAGAACGTGTTAACCACTCTATCGACCTGTTCAAGTGATCTTGTAAAGACTAACTTCCTTTTGAGGTACAGAACCATAATAATGAAAGAAATGGAACTGTCTATAATTACACCATCTCGATAATTATAGACAGCTCCATAAAGATCTTACCTTGAGAATAGAATTAGAAGTAATCGAGGTGTTTGTTTGGAATTATCTATCACGCTCTATTAAATGACTAGATAGCCGACACGTGAAAGTTTCACCGAAAATAACTGACCCTGATCTCCTTCTACTATGAGCAGTGCTCACTTCGAAAATAATAAAAAAATAAAATGGAATACATATCAGCAAACTTAAAAATTACTCTTGAAATTTCACTACCTTATAGTCTGACACGGCATTCGCGATCAAAAATGTAAACCGTTACACTCAAAGTTTTATTAAAAATTAATTATTTTTTATAAAAGATAGGCTAGAATTAATCTCGTCTCATCAGTAGTCTAAGTCTTAATAAAATCCGAAGGTATACTTGTCACCCGCATATGATATAGCAGGAAGATTGGTGAAATTTTATTTTAAATCAATCAAGTAGTTATAGAGCCTATTTAATTTAATACAAAAAGCAATCAAACCTTTCCTCTTTATAATATTAGTATAGATTTATATAAACTACAGTTCCTATTTTATTTTAATAGATGTTTGAAGCCAAGAACCAAAAATTCGTAACACTACTTGTTTCACTAAAAACTTTTTATACCTACTATGATTAATGCTTGTATGTTTTATGTTATTTAATGTCTTTTTGGATAAAAAATATACTTTTAATGTTACACTTATTTCATCACACTATAAAATTAAATTTCATCCAAATATGTAGTTAAAAATTTTCAATCACTCTGTCAAAAATCAGTCTGCCACAAACACCTTTACCAACTTAATTATTAGAAATGACATAACATTTTTTTCTATACTTATTACAAATCAATATTTTAATACGATTATAAAATTTTGTAATACTATCTATCTATTACAAGCAATAACAAAGAGTTCGCATACGCTACGGACTGTTGCTCTACTAAGCAGTCTACGATAATACAACAAATAAGTCTATAAGTCAAAAATTTGCGTGCGTTGCAGCATCCGTTATAGAACACACCTAAAGTAGCCTTATAGACGCAGCATTGAATAGACAACAATTTGACTTTCTCTTTACATATATTTCTCGTAGTAGATTTTTTACTGCTACGGGTGCAGTAGACGCATAAAGTAGATAGAAAGTGCAGACGCGATGCTTATAGCTCAGTAGAGAACACCGCGCCGAAGCAGACGGACGTGCGTGCGGCGCAAATGTTACCGAGACCACGCGGGAAATAGTTGCGTCGGACGTGACACTTATCAATAAAAATAAAATCGTAAAAAAAATTATTCATTTGAAATTAAATATAGGTGACTTTACCGATATGGGTGCGAGTGCAAGGATTACTCTTATGTTTCTTATGATTTCTGCCGCATCAGCTGTACCAGCAGGAGAAGCGAGACATTACGGTAAGATCACATTATAAAATTTCTAATAGATAATTGTGATGACTATTAGAAGAATGCGCTACCTCAACACCTATTAATTTAACGCCTTGTGGGTGCAAAGCCATTGAATTTGTGCGGGCCGCACAATTATCTCTTGCATAAAATTACTATAACAATAAGCAAGAGCCTTATCATTACTATTTCATTAATATTAATCACTTTATCGTGTATAAATGGAATTTTATTACAAGCGTTGTTGCGACAATATTTTAATTGCTTATGTTTATCAAAACTAAAGGGTTAACAACCCGTTAATATTGCAAAAATACTTATGCAAGATAGATCAAAGACTATTGGTTTAGTTGCAACAGAGGCAAAGAACTTTTACGGATAATTTCACACTAAATAAAGTTGGTTGCACGCTCTGAGTGACAATGACCCACTGTTAGCAGAAACGTCACGGGTGGTTATGAAAAATAAAATAACGTTTAAACCTCTTTGGAAAATTCTTTCTTTGTCACATTCTGTCTACAACACACAGTAGGAGTTCGAATAAATACTGTTTTGTTTAGATTACTTCAGTCACGGTGATTTCTCAATGTTTCAGTTTAAATCTGCAAATTAAAAAAAAAATACTACAAGAAAACAGAACTCCGTTTAATTGGAAGAAACTTTAACGGTAGTAGTTCGTAGGTATATGGATTATCAAAGTTATAAAGTTTTTTTTACTTTTTTGTATAAACCCATGTTATATAAACGTTATCGTGTATATACTTATTATAAGTAATAATATGATCATTCGTAAAATTTGTATTCAAAATTCGTAAATTCAACCTAATGAAAATTTTTACGCTGAATGCCAATTAACTGTTACCTTTCAATTGCTGAATCTTTTTGTAATGGATTTCTATTGTTATAAAAATTATTTAATTTTTCTATCTTTAAAGATAGGTTAAAGTAAACTACTAATATCAAAATAACTGTTTCCAAAATTAGTGAAGTTCAAAAAAACATTGCTAATTAAATTATATTTCTTGATGTTGGCAATAGATTGAATAATAGAATGAAGAAATTTACCAGAGTAACTTTCTGAACAGTTTAAATGCAAAAATTAACAAAAATTCAACTATGTTCAGTTAGAATACATTACGATTGTATAGTGGTTTTTCTAAAAATGGAAATTGATAAATTGAAACAAATTGAAAATGGACAAAGGATTGTTTTCCAATATTTGTTTTTAGGTATTTTATTCAGTCCTTCAGACAGATAATAGAAAAATATTAGATACTTTTTTAATTCTTTCAATTTAAACAAGAAATGGTTTAAATAATAGGTATAAGAGTTGTGGAGTGGGGGCTCGCTACGTCACAGTTTTGTAGAAAATGTACAAAAGCGTAACGTCTTGCGGCATTTCAACTCAAAGTATCGCGGTAATTTATTGGTTATGCAAAAAAAATCGTATTTAATATTCTTTTCATTAATCTATCTGACGGACGAACAAACAAAAATTAGTAATTACTAAGACTCCGATGTCTTTTTCTGTCATCAAAACGTATCTCATGAATCGTGGTAGCTAAACACTTGAAAATTTCATCGATGATGTATTTCTTAAAACAATAATAAAGTAAATATTTAAGGAGGCTCCCATACAGAAAACGTTTTACATAGATGATGGTACGGAACTCTTCGTGCGCGAGCCCAACTCGTACTAGACTGTTTTTTTAACGTTCTGCATCATATAACTTATCTCAATGCTATCGACTGTTGCTGAAGTGGGTGACGCTAAAATTCAAAGTCGTAGGAACACATATTATATTTTTTTTGCAATAATATCAACGTTTCGAACTACATCAGCTAGTAATAAGGATATTTTTTTATTGTTCGCCATTTTAGAAAAAGAAAATGAAGTGACAGATAACTAAAATGTCGCCATCAGACATGAAACGTATTTAATATACGAATATCTGAAATACAGATACCAAATACGTATATCTATTTTGTACCTAAAATACTTTTTTTTTATTTATTTTATATAAACTATTTCTGATAAAATACTTTTGTAACAATCAACGCATTTATTCACAAAAGTTCCTATGATTTTACAGTAATGTAGAGTCATAAACTACGTTATTTAGAATGCTAAAAGCCATCTTGTTAAAAATCAGGTAGCTCTACTTTTTAGATGTGGCAATACTGCAGTATTTTATTATTTAAAAGATACCTATTTTGTAACTGGTATTTCGGATACTAATATCGAAGATATTTTGTATCTAGTATCTGAAATTAATCAACCCTTATGGGCTTTATGGGTATGTCTACAACCCTCTAGTTGTGACGTCACATTTCATAGTCTGCTGAGATCGATAGTTCATGCGGAACTATAAAATCTTGATCACAGCGTCATACATTTTTGTTAGAATGGCAGGAATACACTGTTTTCAGTAGTTCATATTCCGACTAGTATATGGCTTATTTTCGGGTGGCTTTGACTACAACCTTTTTTAAGGTCTGTATCCGCCCCTGAAGAGCATTGTAACTATGCGGTCGTCTAATATTTATTTTGACCGTACTAATTGTCGACACGCAGGAAAATCATCGAGGTTGTATTAGTTAATACGTTAGTCAATTCCGGCGAATGTTAGTACAAATTTATTTCACCAATACATTAGCAATTGTAATCGTTGAGTTCGACTACATAAGCATAACATTGCTTATTAATCATTTCACTTAGCGCAAACTATTCTGACCCAGATACGCTTATAAAAATTAATAATTGATAACACCGTGAAATTTGGACAACAAGCGAAATTCGTCTTTAATAATATAATGTTGATTCGATTTTTCTTTGACGCTAAATTACTTTTCATATGTCTCAATTCTAAGGAAATAACGGATAAGATTGCATCGGATATTATAACGGTATTTGTGCAAGCCTTTTGTTCCGGTAGTTATTTTGTAGGGTTAAGTTTATTATAATTCGTGATCATTCCATTTTCAGTCTAATAATGTCCACCACTGCTGGAGCTCAGGAGCTCTATTTTTGATTAACTAGTTTAAATTCTCCTTGCCGTATACGACCTAAGTCACGCTCGGCTTCTTTATCGTTTTCGCCTGGGTGAGGTCCCAGGTCCCAGGTTCGTTTCCCGGTCGGGTCAATGTGGAAAATAAGCTTTACTATTAATTTGTGATCTATGCAACTTATGCGATATTGTCTAATATTTTTATTAGTACCTATAATATGATACCAAAGAAGTGATCATTTATTACGTCAAAATCTAAAAAAAATATAATTACAAAACAGATGTAAGAGCTTTTAATCGTATCTATACCTAGTAAAAAAGTAACTTTCCACTGTCTGTACGGTAAGATATTTTAAACTACACAATCAATTAAATCAAATCAATATAAAGAGGGATCAAAAAGTTATTTAAATATAATTTTGAAAATGATATCCTAATAACTGTTTACACCTTGGTTTAACTATTTTATAACAGTGCATATTTTATAACATCATTTTATGTTACTAATACTTATATTACTTATGATTATATACGCCCAGATACGAGACGATGTAGAGATTTTTATTTCTTATTCTGGATCTAATCTAGGAACTCAGATTAGAATTTTAGGTCAATGGTGCTCTCATAACGGAACGTGAGAAGCTTCCATGGCTGACCGTGGAAATCTCCATTAAATATAATAATATCAACAGCATTCATATTTATTACTAATAGGAAGAATTAGCTTATGAAATTGTTCGATTTCTATGTAAATTACGTTTTGCTTGATCAACTCTGAAGAATTTTAATTAATATTGTTGCCTACAGTTTCGCCAATGTTTTAAAGTGTATACCAGCCTGTTTTTGATGAGACTTCTCATTAAATTTTTATGATTTGAATGTTATAACTTCTTCTGTTTTGTCACTAATTATACGCTTTCTATAAAAGTCCGAAATAGTGAATTTATACTTTCTTATTTGCGTCTTATAACTGCAGTCCCACTATAATCGATGTAGTTAAGAGCACTGCTATTTTGTAATAAAATCAGCGTTAAACTCAACTTCGAGCACAACACTGTCACATCATAGATGTATAATCAAATACAAAGTAATAAAGATTTTATTTCATTGATGTTCTATGCTGTGCTAACACGTCTTTCTATGTTCTGTGGTACTAACGCTGACAGTACGAGGCAAATTTATTTGTACAGAATAGTTTATGTGTTTTTGTTGATGTGTTTTGTACATGAAATATTAGATTTTCAAGTTATATATAAACGCTACCAATATACAACAAAACTAACAGCCAGCACAATCTTCCAACATTAACAACACATTATATTGCTAATGCATTCGTAAAACCTTTGAAATTCAAACAATGCTACGAAGGAAGCGCTCATCAAAAGGCGCTTAACCGAATTTCCTTCATCAAGGTTCTCAAATAGTAATAGCCTAATTGCTTCAACCTCTGAGAGAGGAAACCAACAATAGAAACTCGAAGGCTTAATTCTCAATGCTTACACATTAGCTAGTGTCTGTACGTTATTGTTTGTCACAAACGGAACCGTTCACTTCCGAAGATTTTTTTAGGTAAGCACATATTGGATGACGAAAGCGCAGTACCGGTATTTGAAGTTTACTAATGAGTCATTTATGTTGAACAACTTAAAAATACCCTTTTTAGGATTCTGTAGTAAACAAGTAGCCCTTATAGTTTCGCTGTGTCCGTCTGACCGCGGTTTAGCTCAAAAACTTTTTTTTTTTTTATTTATGTCGCCAAAACAGTAAAGTAAAATTTCTAAAAAATATTTAACGTAAGCAGTACATATAGTGTCGTTAATATTGTTTTTTGTCTTCCCCAGAGTGTGAGACATTGTTGGATAGGTCTTTCAAAAATATTAGTATGTGAGAAGTTTATTTTCCGATTTAGTAAAGCGTTTGTGACTTATTAAGCTTTAAAAGCTTATTTTCGTTAGAGTCAAGTGTCCCCTTACGGTAGTTGGTAAAAATTCAAACATTACG